TCATTCTCCTCCTCATCCGTGTATGATCTGAGCCTGGCGCTTTCTTCCTTTGTGCAGCGCCAGGCCCCTCACACTATGCGATGATGATGATGTATATATGGTTGCGTTTCGTGGGGAGGTATGGGCGTGGGTTTTGAAGCTATTGTACATATGTAGGTCACCGGGTCTCTATCTGTTAACCTGTAGGGTAGTAGTCTTAGAGTACGTCCGGTCATAGCTGCTACAGTTTCGAAAGGTCAATGTTTGTCATAGCTGCTACAATGCCGAAGGGTCACGTAGGATAGACTAGGACTTTCTAGATGAGTCTACTCTGCCCCTTCGTGAGTCCTAGCTAGCAGTCCGTAGGCAAGTGGGCAAGTGGGCAGTCAAACTCAGCCCAGTCAGCGGTACCCAGTCCCGGTCGCACCTTGTCAAGTCAGCAAGTACCATGTGGGACTGCGTGCACCCCGGGCCCAGGATCCAAGGGCAGACCTTTGACAATCCGAAGTATAAATCAAGAGGCAGCGTCAAATCATGCATTCATTCTGCCTGGGAGCCGTGCGGAAGCGCTATCAGAGCCTCTTGTGTACGAAGGGCTGCAGGTGCCCGAAGGAGAAGTGGGCTAAGAGGAGGAAGACGCGGCCATAGTCGCTTGGGTTAGTGAGAGGAGGAAGACGACAGCCATAGCTGCCCGCAGATTAGTAGGAGAGTGTTAAACAGGGTGTATGTGTGTATGTGTGTAAGCTTGTACGTGTGAAGTGTGTACGAGTGCGGGACATCCAGGGAGATCTAGGGTGTGTGTACGAACAAGTTGCTGGGAGTACAGCGTTCGGCCATAGCCGAACGAGACAGGTTTGAATCTGAACTGTGTTCGTGGCTTCGCTATCTCTTAGCTTTGTGTGGCCTGTAATGACCCGCCAAAAACACAGACTCAGAACACTGCTAATTTTTGGGATGTGCCACTGGAATTAATGCCTTGTTGAGTTTCACGCATTCTGTTGTGATTTCCATGTCTGTGTGTGTGTGCGTGCCTGCTGGTTTGCATGCCTGTCTGACTGCTTGTCGGCTGAGTGTGTGTGTGACCCGCAAGGGTACTTGTTGGTTGAAAGGCCCCGCAGGGCCGGTACTTACCTGTGGCCGTGACTTTGAGGGTTGCAGCGGGGAAAACACTCGAGTAGCGAGGGTAGGCCCGCGACACTTAGAACAAAGGGGAAAAACACTCAAGTAGCAGGTAGGCTGGTACCACTGAAGTAGTGGTAGAAGTGTCGGGTACTGGAGGCCGAGCAGAAGAAGACAAAAAGTTGGCATTTTTAGAGGCCCAGTAGCGGTAGGCTAGAGGTAGGCCAGTACCGGTCCAAGTAGCCCGGGTCTAGGGCCTGTCCGGAGGATAGCAGAGCCTGCAATGATGTTTCCCTCCGAAAGGGAGGACATACCGCTTGCTGGGAGGCCGCTCGGCCTAGGAAGTCACCGCCCAAGAGGCCAGTAGGCCGCTATATCTTCGGGAGGAGCAAGCAGCTCCTCCTCATTTGCGGTATGCAAGGATTGGAGACATGCTGCTGGAGCACAGCGCTGGACTGGTACAGCGCTGCCTGGAGGTGAAGGGCAGCTGGCGCTCAGCCTGGCTATGGCGAGCAGCCCAGCCTGAGGAGGAGGAGGAAGGGGGCGAAAGAGGAGAGTGGCGAGGCACCTACCTGGCTATGGTGGACACCATCTTCATCACCTTGTTGGGCGCTGCATCTGGAAGGCCCCAGTTGGGGTAGTGCCGCACCAAGGAAGCTTGAGGCAGAGTCAGGCATGGCGGCTTAGTTAGCAGCGGCATAGCTGCTTTGGGTTGTCCTTTGGACAGGAGTGCAGCAACATGGCTGCTTTGGGTTGTCCTTTGGACAGGAGGGCAGGGCCCTCAGTAGTCCGCCATAGCCTAGGCATGTGAGAGGAGGAAGAAGGAGGAAAGCCATAGCTATGGTGGACTTGTTGTTGTTGAGTCAACAGTAAGAGGGTACTTCGGATATTGATTCTGGTTCATCCACTCATTGTTATTATTATTATTGGGAGAAGAATAAGATTGGCGAAGTGAAGGAGGAGGAGGAAGGTGGAGAGAGAAGGGGGGGATTGTCATTGGTCTTGCTGGTGTACATCTTCTTCTTCTTCTTCTTCTTCTTTCTCTCTCCTCTCGTCTCTATCTCTTTGCAAGTGCTTTCATTTCTTTCGCAATTGGGTGGCATTGTCTTTCATTGTGAATTTGCACTTTGGGAATGACCAGGATCGTAACAATTGGTATCGGAGCGGACTTACTTGCTGGCGAGAGGTGTTAGTCACCCAAAACCTAATTCCGAATTAGGTCAGGGCTAACCTAATCTCGGATTAAGGTTGGGAAGTTAGGGTTAAGAGGGGCAGTCAGGTATGTGGATACTGCCCCCACCTGGTTAGGTCATGTAGGGTCGACATCAGACCTGACCAGGTTGCTTGAGTGATTGGATGGGGTGGCGAGACACAAAGGAGGCTGATTGGAGTAAGCGAGAGGGAGTAGTGACTTTTGGGCTTCCCCTCAAGAGGGAGACTTGATCGGAGGCTGCCATATCTGCATCAGAGAGCTGCAAGTTGCTACTTTGGTCTTCAGACATCGACGGGGGATCTGGTGTTGTAACAGGGGTGTAGGAAGGCCCTCTTAGTCATGCTAGAACACTTCGTGTAGTGGTAGCTAGGGGTCAGGGGGACTTATGAGAGAGGGGGGTGAGTCGTTATCCATCTTTGGAGGCCGGGCCTCACAGGTAGGTGCTGTGTGACCTGGTTATGCTCGTGGGAGGTTGCTTGGTGCTTCATGGCCTGTTGGGGTGTGCTGGGCTCTCTTCCTCTTCTCTGCGGTCTTGGTTGTGTGTATGAGCATGTGGATTGCTTTCTCACCTGATGGATGGATGGATGATGTATCTGTTCTCAATGACATATCTTTCTACAGTGCAATGTCTTTTCATTTCTGAACGGCTGTAAGGGTGAGTTCTTGCTGAAAGTTGTCTTTTCCTTTTCAGTACGGTAGAGGCAGCTTGGGACTGAATTGGTACACCTATCTCGTTGGTCCTGGTCCATGACCTACTTGGGACCTTCGGGACTCGGTGGGACCAGGCCCAACGGGACAAGACTTTTAGGGCCCAAATCTGTTGCCGCCAATGCATCTCTTTGCTGTGCTGAACTCGGGCGACATACGGATAGCAAAGGCATTCCTTTCAAGGGGATCTTGAGTGGTCTTACTGCATGTTCTCACATGCTGCCCCGCGTCTGGCTCGGCGACCGTCTGCACCCCCCGAAATCTCCATTGCTGTAGTTAGTTTTCTTCGGCTGATTTATTGTGGTACATGTACCTTGTCAAGTTAGACAAGAGGGGATCTCCAGCTAATCTGATCGGGCTCGTTCGGTAAGTCAGTCCTCTCTTTCGTTTTTTTTGTTTTTTTTCTTTAATCTTTATTCTGCTGCATGAATGCCATTCTCTAAGTCCGAATGAATTGCCGCTCTGGCTAGGAGTTCTACCTTCTACTCTTTGTGATTTACTGTTTGTTTCTTTTATCTGAACTATCTATGTCCGGTATTGAGACGCGTGCGCAGAAAGCGGAAAGAGAGAGAAGGGAGAGACAAGGTGTTCTTTTTTAGAGTGTGAGGAAGGGAAAGAGGAGTGTTCGTCCGAAAGTGAGCAAAGTGCGGACCCCTCTTGAGAGATATACTGACACCCTATCCTCCTGCATTGCAGACATCATGTCCGAGCAATGGAAGGCCATGCTGGACGCAGCGGCCGATAACGAGAGACCTTTCTTTCAGAAACTTTATGAGGACGCAATACACAGAGAAAGAGAGGCAGAGGCAGCAGCCAGAGCCACAAGTATTGCTGAACAGGTGGCCCTCCTTGCGGTTCCGGAATCAAATGATGACCGGTTCCAAGAGAAGCTAGCTGCTGCCGTAGCAGCCTTGGTTCAACTGCGGACCTTGGAAGACCTTGAGTCCCGTGTGACAACTCTGGAGCAGCGGAACCAGGAGCTGCAGGCTGAGATAGTTAGCCTCAAACAGTCCCAATTGTTTGCCCCTCATCCTCCTAACCCTCGACCTGCTGCAGTCCCAGTCTCTCACCCTAACATAGTCCTCATGACAAGAGCAAGTGGAACTGTGTCGAGCGCAGGAACCGGTGTCAGCTCCTCAAACGGCGGCGCCGGCAGTTTTGCACTGGTCATAGTCCCAAATGCAGGAACGTCAGCCCAAAACGCCACAGTTCTTACTGGCGTACAGTACAGCGGTCCCGTAGTGGACAAGCGGACGACCACTCTGCCGTCCAAATACGACGGGAAAGGGGATATCACCTCTTGGATTAGCTCCATGCGCTCATACTTCGAGGTACTGCGAACACCGCAGGAAGACCGAAGCATGATCATGGGCACTAATACTGAGCCCGTTGTACAGAGTTTCATAGAACTCCAAGCTATTACTGCAGGTTATGAGAGGATTGACCTGACCGAGTGGCTAAAAGTGACTCCTGTACGTACTCTTGAGGACCTCCTCATCACGCAATATCAGGATAAGCGCGTTGCGCTCAAGGCAAGGCTGAAGCTTGAGGCCCTCAAGGGCCAAACGTGGAGAACTTCCATGCAGGCTGTGGAGCAGCACTTGGCTGGATTGTTCACCACTCCAAACCTGGGATGGACCGACGAGTCTTGCATGGATGTAGTCTTGGGAGTGGCCCCTAAAGAATATGTCTCCCGGCTAGGACTCAAAGACCATACGACTTGGTGAGAGCTACTGACAAATCTAGTCAACCTAGAAGCCAAGGAACTCGCTAGGCATGTAAAGGCACCCGCTGCAGGTAGAACCTTGCGACGCAAGCGGTACGGAAGCAGCAACCAGCTTGCCGAGGCTGAGGATTAGTCCTATGTGGATGATCTGTCTCTGGATGACGATCTAGAGTCGGACTCCGACGTGGGCTGTTCTACATCAACCCTTGAGTCTGACGTGAATACTGAACAAAAATGTAATGCCTTTAAAAAGACTGCTTCAAGCAAGGGGCTTAACCGTAGTTCGGGTAAGGGAACTATAGCACACCTCCCCAAGAATGCAAAGATCCCCGAGAAACCGGAGGATGCTTCTACCAAGCCTTGGGAAGCCCTCCGCATCAGTCAAAAGGAATGGGAAAGAAGATCCAAACTGCGCGTGTGCTTGCATTGTCAAAAACCTGGGCATGTTGTGCAGGGCTTTTATCGTCTGCAGGGAAACAGGCAAATGGCGTAGAAGAGTCATCAACACTCTCTACAACAAGGGAAGCTGAACAATCAGTTGCAGGGCCCTCCAAGGAGACTGAATCTGATCAACAACTTGCTCTTGAAGCCCGAACGGATGCTGAATCCAACGCTGGTGCAGTCCAAGTACTTTACATTGAGACTTGGAAGAGACTAAGAAAGTTGACTTCCACTCTCACCTGGAATTGCTGCAGCTCACGCAGCAACGTCGTGTTCAAGGGAGTGTGGAGCTGACCTTCTTTAAGTTACTCATTAACCGTCGATACATCCGTGTGCTGATTGATAGTCGCTCAACGACCAACTTCTTTTCTCCTAACGGGATTCGTAAGGCGGGCCTGGGAATGAAACAAGTGGAATTGCAGAACCCTTGTCAGACCCAGGTAGGCAACCAAGAGGCTGTCACCTCAACACATGCTGTCAAAGGTGTGCGCGTCACTTTTGACTAGGATCGCACTGTCACACATGAGCTGAACTTTTATGTCATGGACAAGTGTCCTTTCCACACGGTCATTGGCTTGGGCTGGTTAAATGCTCATTGCCTAAGGACCACATGGGCGGATAATCAGTTCGTAGTGCGTGATGGCAAGGGGAACGAGCGTACCGTTTTATTGGACGAGACGCGTGAGTCCCCTGTGACTCTTTTGAGTGCAAACAAATTCCGCAAATCAGTGCGCAGGCGCAAGGAAGCTGAGCATGTGCATGTAGCTCTTGTAAAGCCTCTCCATGTGCCTTCTACTTTTGCTGCATTTTCTACCTCGGAAAGTAATTCTACTTCTACTACCTCTACTTCTGTTCCATCTACTTCTACTGTAAAGAATCAGTCTACTTCTGATCCAAGTACTTCGAGTTCAGTTGTAATTGTTGTAAATTCTCAATCTGATTTTCTCTCTCCTGATAAGGATGATCCTCCACCGGAAGTCCCAACAAACATTCACCGTCTATTAGATCGATTTCCTGAAGCTCTGGCTGAACCTCGTGGAGTTCCCGAGCGTCCGGTCAAACACAAAATCGAGATAATAGAAGGGAGTGTTCCTCCAAAGGGTTGCGTCTACCGTATGGGACAAGGCGAGTTGGAGGAGTTGAGGAGACAAATTGATGATATGATCGATCATGGATGGATTAGGCCGAGTGAGTCCGAGTTCGGTGCACCTGTCTTGTTTGTGTCGAAGAAAGGAGGCAAACTCCGGATGTGTATTGACTATCGCGGCCTAAATCGGATCACCAGAAAGAATGCTTATCCTTTGCCTCGCATAGATGACCTGCTAGATGCGGCAGGTGGATGCAAAGTCTTCTCCAAGATCGACCTCAAATCTGGCTACCACCAGATTGAAGTTGATCCGAGCGATCAACACAAAACTGCATTCAAGACACGCGATGGGTTGTACGAATTCATCGTTATGCCCTTCGGTCTTACGAATGCACCAGCCACATTTCAGTGCCTCATGAACAAGGTTCTCCGCCATCAGCTCAACAGGTTTGTTGTTGTTTACCACGACGACATCCTGATTTTCAGCAAGTCCATGGAAGAGCACGTCAGGCACCTTGAGGAGGTTTTACAGGTCCTCAAGAAGGCACAGTTGCACCTCAACTTAGAGAAATCTGAGTTTGGAAGGGACAGCGTCATCTATCTTGGGCACCGGTTGTCTGCAAACGGCCTTGAGCCGGAGGCAACCAAGGTTGAGGTCATATGAAAGTGGCCTCAACTGGCAAACGTACGCGAACTGCGTTCTTTTCTTGGTTTGGACTCGTATTATCGGAAGTTTGTACCCAAATTTTCTGTCATTGCTCACCCACTCTCGAGACTAACAAGTAAGAATGTTGCCTATGCGTAGTGTGAGAAATGTGAGACTGCGCTCCAAGCCTTGAAAGAGGTTTTGGTAAGTCATCCTGTGCTCCGCATTGCGGATCCCAACCTCACGTTCGTGGTTACTACGGATGCGAGCTAGTATGGGATTGGTGCAGTGTTGCAACAAGATGATGGCGATGGCCTGCGTCCGCTCGAATATTACAGCAAACGCATGCCCAACCACAAGGTAGCTACCTCCACGTATATGCGTGAGCTCTACGCCTTGCGCGAGGCGCTCACACATTGGAAGCACTACCTCTTGGGTCGTCACTTCAAGGTCTACTCAGATCATCAGACCTTGCATTGGATTAAAACACAAACTGATCTCTCTCCGACGTTGACCCGCTGGGTGCATGACATTGATGTTTACAACTTTGAACTGAAACACAAGAAAGGTTGTTATAACCGTGTTGCTGATGCTTTGCCGCGCCATCCTGAGTTATTGACTTGCCTTGTGGACTCATATGACCTCCTAAGGAAACTGAAGGAGGTTCTGGTCAAACACACTGCCAAGGATCCGGACCTTAGTCCCATCCTTGAGCAGCTCCAGGCCGACCCTAGTAGTCAGCCTGATTCTCACGAGTGTGAGTATCTTGTATTCCGCCGGTACGGGAAGTTTGATCGTTTATGTGTACCCAACCATGCGCCTCTCCGGAATCATTTCTTGGACTTAGCACATGGTCGGAGTGGACACTTCGGCTTTGAGAAGGCTTATGGAAGTCTTCTGCAACAGTTTAATTGGTTGGGAATGACGGGATCTGCTCATAAATTTATTGTTAAATGTCAAGTCTGGCAAAGAACCAAGGTCCATAGGCATAAGCTGTATGACCTGCTGAAACCCCTCCCAATTCCTGATGGGTCCGGTGAGTCGGTCTCTATCGATTTCACTGACATGGGGAAGGTGAGCGAAGGAGGACATTCACAAGTCATGGTCATCGTGGATTTTCTGAATTTGATTCCTCTACCTTCTCATGCACCAACTGAGCTAGTGATCGAAGAATTTCACCAGAAGTACATTCTGCAGTATGGACCACCAAAAACTCTTGTGAGTGATCGGGACACTAGGTTCATTAGTGCAGATTGGACGAAATTCACTTCACAGATCTATGACATTAAACTCAACAAGACTTCTGGTCGACACCCCGAAGCCAATGGACTGGCCGAGGAAATCAACCAGACTGTCATTCAACTACTTCGCGCATTAATTGTTCCAGATCAGAACATGTGGGACAAGGAGTTACACAAAGTGAAAGGGTTGTACAACAACTCCATTCACTCTGCAACTGGCGTGACGCCGAATCAGCTTCAATATGGTTGGCAGTTGCGCAATCCTCTCTCCTATTTGTTCCCCGAGCGGTTCCCTGGTCTGACGCCCGACATGCTTGGCTACAATGCCAAGTACGCACGCCTGCTCAAAGCTGCTATCGCAGCAATGAACAAGCGTCAGCATGCCATGATCAAACATGCTAACAAGTCGCGCAAAGAAGCGAACTTCAAAGTAGGGAGTTATGTCTGGGTCAAAATGTCTGAGTTTTCTGATGAAGAGGGCGTATCACGAAAGCTTTTTCCATTGTACTATGGCCCTTGGCAGGTTCTTAAGGTGATTGGGGATGAACTTGGTCCTTCGTATGTGATTGACGTGCCTCTTCGTCTGCGCACATGTCCGGTCTTTCACGCGTCCAAACTGTTTCCACACATCGATGATGAGACTTTTCCCTTCCGAGATCCTATGATACCTCGTCCTATCGACGACGGCCATGAGATAGACAGAATCGTGTCCCATGAAGGAAGAGGGAGGAACAAACAGTACAAGGTTCACTTCCTCCATCACCCGTTGAATGAGTTTTTCTGGATCGACCAGAAAGAGCTGCTAAAAAATGCTCCACGAGTGGTTAACGCCTATGAACGACAGATCGCTGATGGACAAACTGCTAAGTTTTCTGCAAAACTCACTCCTCACAGTCTTACTAAATCCCTCTTTCTAATCTACGCCTACGATGCATTTTGTGCTGACCCTGAATGAGTTACTCGCTCGAAGGGACCTCGCTCTTGAGAGGGGGGTAGTGTAATGACCCGCCAAAAACACAAACTAAGAACACTGCTGATTTTTGGGATGTGCCGCTGGAATGAATGCCTTGCTGAGATTCCCACATTCTGTTGTGATTTCCACGTCTGTGTGTGTGCGTGCCTGCTGGTTTGCATGCCTGTCTGAGTGCTTGTCGGCTGAGTGTGTGTGTGACCCGTAAGGGTACTTGTTGGTTGAAAGGCCCCACAGGGCCGGTACTTACCTGTGGCCGTGACTTTGAGGGTTGCAGCGGGGAAAACACTCGAGTAGCGGGGGTAGGCCTGCGACACTTAGACCAGAAGGGAAAAACACTCAAGTAGCAGGTAGGCCGGTACCACTAAGTAGTGGTAGAAGTGTCCGACACTGGAGGCCGAGCAGAAGAAGACAAAAAGTTGGCATTTTCAAAGGCCCAGTAGCGGTAGGCTAGAGGTAGGCCGGTACCAGTCCAAGTAACCCGGGTCTAGGGCCTGTCCGGAGGATAGCAGAGCCTGCAATGATGTTTCCCTCCGAAAGGGAGGAGGTACTGGTTGCTGTGAGGCCGCTCGGCCTAGGAAGTCGACGCCCAAGAGGCCAGTAGGCCGCTATATCTTCGGGAGGAGCAAGCAGCTCCTCCTCATTTGCGGTATGCAAGGATTGGCGACATGTTGTTGGAGCACAGCGCTGGACTGGTACAGCGCTGCCTGGAGGTGAAAGGCAGCTGGCGCTCAGCCTGGCTATGGCGAGCCGCCCAGCCTGAGGAGGAGGAGGAAGGGGGCGAAGGAGGAGAGTGGCGAGGCACCTACCTGGCTATGGTGGACACCATCTTCATCACCTTGTTGGGGGCTGCATCTGGAAGGCCCCAGTTGGGGTAGTGCCGCACCAAGGAAGCTTGAGGCAGAGTCAGGCATGGCGGCTTAGTCAGCAATGGCATAGCTGCTTTGGGTTGTCCTTTGGACAGGAGTGCAGCGCCATAGCTGCTTTGGGTTGTCCTTTGGACAGGAGGGCAGGGCCCTCGGTAGTCCGCCATAGCCTAGGCATGTGAGAGGAGGAAGAAGGAGGGAGGGCATAGCTATGGTGGACTTGTTGTTGTTGAGTCAGCAGTAAGAGGGTACTTATGATATTGATTCTGGTTCATCCACTCATTGTTATTATTATTATTGGGAGAAGAATAAGATTGGCAAAGTGAAGGAAGAGGAGGAAGGTGGAGAGAGAAGGGGGGAATTGTCATTGGTCTTGCTGGTGTACTTCTTCTTCTTCTTCTTCTTCTTCTTCTTCTTCTTCTTCTTCTTCTTCTTTCTCTCTCCTCTCGTCTCTATCTCTTTGCAAGTGCTTTCATTTCTTTCGCAATTGGGTGGCATTGTCTTTNTCTATCTCTTTGCAAGTGCTTTCATTTCTTTCGCAATTGGGTGGCATTGTCTTTCATTGTGAATTTGCACTTTGGGAATGACCAGGATCGTAACAGGCCACAAGTCACCAGCTTGATCGTCATTTGTTTGTATGCATGTTGCGTGTCGGGAAAGACAAGTCTGATTGCATTGGTATCAGAGCTACTTCTCGCTGTCTCGCCGCTTCATCATCGTCATTGTCGTCGTCAGCGTCGTTATCGGCAAGGGGCGTTGAAGAGAGGAGGGAGAGCCACGTCAGCTTCCCGCGTCCAAAGAGGAAGGGCGCCACGTCATCGCCGTTCGTAGAAAGGAAGGAGGTGCCAAGTGGAGGGAGCGCCACGTCAGCCTTGAGCTCCGCCAGAAGAGATAGGCGCCCACTATCCGCTGTGCACGTTAGTTTCCCGCCACGCGCCGCTGTCCCGCTAGCGCCCACTAGTTGTTGCACGCTGCTTTTTGCAAGATCGCTCGTCAGCTATCGCGCTTGCCCCGCTGCGCGCCGATGCTACTGCGCCACGTGCTGCCCATTGCTGCACTCGCGCCCCGCTATTCGCCGCGCGCGTTCCTGTCGGACTGCGCGACAAGTTCGCGCGCTTGTCTGGCTGCGCGCCAAGTGCTCCTGCGCGCATCGGGGTTGATTGCGCCCCGTGGTCGACTGCCCGCCCGGGCGCATGTGGATGAACGAAGCCGCTCCGTAGAAAGAAGAACTATAGGGGGCCGAAGGGCTAGACCACCATCGCCGAAGTAGGAGATCGAGATGACGAGGAAGGAGATCGCCGCTTTGGAAGGAGCCCGCTGGGCTAAGATTGAAGGGAATGGTCATAGCCACCGCCTTGAAGAAGAGACATTGTGAAGAAGAGATCGCCACGTTGGAAGAGAAGAGCTGCCATATATGCCGCCCACTGAAGAGAAAGGCCGTCGGGTCGAAGGAAGGAGATCGACACGGCATTGGAAGGAGAGGCCGCCGTGTTGGAGAAGAAGACCGCAGTTTTTTAAGAAAGCAGTTGCGCTGTTGAAGAGGACCGTTGCCTGAGTAAAGAGAGGGCGGCCATACCTGTCGAACCTGCAAAAAAGGAGAAAACGACAACAACGAGAGAGAGAGAGAGAGAGAGAGAGAGAGAGAGAGAGAGAGAGAGAGAGAGAGAGAGAGAGTGAGCGATACAAGATTGGTTTTGCAGCCGAAGAGGAAGGTGGCGGCCATAGCCGCCAAGCTCGGACCTTGCGAAAATGGAGAAGACCGAAGTGACAAAGTTGAGAGAGAAAGGAGGAAGAAGGAAGGAGAGACGAAGGAGAGGGAAGAAAGCCATAGCCAAGGTGGGCGAAGAAGAAGAGAGAAGGGGGAAGGAGAGAGCGAGAGCGGTTGGCGAAGGAGAAGGGTCGGCAGCCATAGCTGAAGGTCGGAGGTTTGACCAAGTGGACCGGCCGTTGACCAGCGTGGACCGGAGGCTGTTGACCAAGTATTTGACCAAGCTGGAGCTGGTATAATCTCGCCAAGCCTCAAGCCTACCCCCTCGCCCTATGGATGTGCACATACCCCTTGGTACTTGTTGAGTCCGCCTGTCTCTTCTTTCTACATCGAGTCACTTTTGTCCAGGTCAATAGGACTCTGTGCATGTGGTCATAGAGCTGTGTTGACCAAACCTACATGGGCTGAGTAGGGCTTAAGACCATGTCTGACGACTGACACGTCTCAAAGGCCTAACCCTCCCAAGGACCGGTACAGACTGGCGGGCTGCTCAGTGTGGCATGGTAGGTCCAAAATCCGAGTTGTAGGCTGCACAACCAGCTGTCATCTTGAGAGGGCTCTGCTGATCACGTCGTCTTGACTGCGACGTTAAAGAATTCCTAAGGAGTTATGGGGGATCTCCTTAAATGACTCTTGATCAGCAGTAGAGTCTTGTAGTGACGACCGTAGTAGTAGTAGTAGTATTTATAGGTAGAGTCAGTCAGTCAGTCGGTCTGTGGGTGGTAAAGTCTAAGTGGTGAGGAGTGAAACTGTCATTTGGTTGAGCACCTTTCACCATGGTGACCATGCAAGCAGGAACGAGTACCACCCCATATAGTAAGGCTCGAGAAGAGCAAGCAGCCGCTCTGCTGAAGGAGAAGAAAGAGAAGATGGAGAAGGAGTTGATAAAGCAGGCGAAGATGTTGGCCTTGATAGAGGAGCAGAAGGCCAAGCAAAAACAAAAATAGAGAAAGAAGAAGAAGAAGAGGTAGAGGTTCCCCTGCAAAGGAATGTAAGGAGGGAAGAGAGAGGGGAATCTAGCGGAGCGCAAGAAGTAGACGCAAAAGTGGAGAGGATGGTGAACGAATGGGTGGCCAACCTGGCATTGGGGGAGGAAGAAGAAGCATTGTTGCTTGTCCCTCAGGCAGAGAGGAAGGCGTTTGCAAAAGAGTTGGAAGGGGAGGAGAACCCCTTGCAGCAACGGACCATAGAGGAGGAGGAGAAGTTGGAGTGGAAACTGCGCCTAACAAGCGAAAGAAGGAGGAAATTGGAGGCGGCAGAAACGATGGAGAGAGAGCTACAGGCCGCAGAAAAGCAACGGGGGCAATTGGTAGCACAAGTAGACCTCCAAAGGAAAATAGAGATTGTTTCTCAGAACATGGAGGTGGTTTTGAAGGCCCAACAGGAGCAGTTGTGCTACCCGAAAGGCCACGATATTGCCCTGCAGTCCATACGCAAAGGTTTTCAAGATTTTGCAATGGATATGATGATGCGCGTGGGCACTCAGTTGCACGCTGCTATGGAAGGCACTGAGAAGTTTTGCGTAGGTGCCATAGAAGGCGTCAAGTTGCACGCTGCTATGGAGGTCAAATTCCCTGACCCCTATGGAGGGAAGAATGAAGAGGATTTTGATAATTGGGAAGCCAATATGAAATCCTATATACACCTCCAACTTATAAGCCTGACAACCAAGTTCTCGTGGCATTCCAGGCGCTGAAGGATGCAGCGGCCAGCTTTGCTAGGTCGCTTGCTCATGCCACCAACTGTGACAATGATATGGTTACGTACTCCTCCATTACTCACTTGAATGAATCTATGACCGCCCTCCGGGAACGCTCTGCAGTTGTAACTAGGGGCCTTAGGGCCTCCGGCAAACTGCAAACAATCCACTCACGACAGTGGAAGAGTGCAAGGGCACTCAAGGCCACCATGGATGAGTTAGTCGTTGTCCCTCGACATGGGGTTACTAAACCCCAACTCGTCCAACTGTTTTATCGCGCCATGCCCGAAGCTTTGCACAAGCATTTCTTCGACAAAAAGCAACAGCCTGATACGACTTATAATACGCTTAGTAGGGAGTACTAGGGACGTTGTTGCTTACGAGGCCCAATCCATGTCAGTTTCCACTGTCTGGCACAAGGACCTCGCCAAAGGCAAAAGTGGAAGGACATACCATCACCAATCAAGTCAAGGCTAAAGATAGCCTAATTCTTACATTAGATGAGCGTGGTCTGGAGGAGGTCCCTTACAGTGAGATTGAGTGGGGCCTCGAGAAGGAGGACAGTGGTGTGGGTCAGGGGAGGACCTACACTGTTGTCGCGGCCAGAGGGAGGCCGCAAGGAAGAGGGAGAGGCCGGAGGCAAGGGGTCGGACCTCTAGTGGTCGAGGACAGGGCGGCCAGGGGGTTGGTGGCAGAGGAGGCTGCCAAGCGGGAGGAAGGGGTCAAGGTTCCACGTCAAATCGTCCACGTTCCAATCGGTCACCTCCCAGGAGGGGTGAATGGCACCCTGGTCTGCCTCAGGACAGGCCCTGGGAAACCCTGGCATTGAAAAGAAAGAGTGGCAGGATAAAATAAATAATTGGCAATGTGTGTTCTGTGGTGATCCAGGGCACATTGTCAAATTTTGTCCCAAATATAGGAATGCCCGAAAAGTCGTTGCAGAGTCGACAAAAGGCAACCACCGGTAGGGGTAGCAACTTCCCTTACCCCTAGACCATGTGGAGATGAGTGTGCACGCCAAGTAGAGACTCCCAACCCACATGTGTCTATAGCAGAGGTTGCTGGCAAGCGTCTAGTTAGTTGTCCAGAGACTGCGTGTGTTAAGGTCTCTTTAGGCGCTTCCCTCACAAGACTGACAAAAGAGTTGAAGGAGAGGATGCCAGTCTGGGCCAAGATGAAGAAAAATGGGAAATGGCAGCTAGTATTGATAGATGTAGAAGTCTTCAGAGGCAGGGTAGGGGCCCTTATAGATAGTGGGGCCACCCATAGCTATATTAGCCATAAAGCGTTGGAGAAGTTGAAGCTTAATCTGAAAGTCCAAAAGCTAGATAAACCCATAGCCAGTATCCTCACAGACAATCGCACCATACGAATCGAGGATTACGTCGAGGGAGTCCAAGCGTACTTCTTACTAGAGAAAGATGGGAAGGTAGAGAGAGTTCTCCATTCCCTTACTCTCCTCGTAGAGGACAATTTCCCGTTTGATATGGTCATAGGAATCTAAGGAATGGAGTGGGGAGAAGCAGTAGGAGCCACATTGCATCTAAGAGAGCATGAGTGTAGGCTTCCTAGTCCATCAGGTGGCGTCAAGACGGCCCGCCTGTTCCATGTGTCGGGAGTAGACAACCCTCTGGCACATTGATGCCTCATTGCTCCCGCATTCGCGCGACTTGTGAAAAAGGTGCAGTTAAAAGAGAAGGTATTTGTGACCTATGTTAGGCCAGTCACTGAGCCTAAGAAAGAGGAACCCACCAACCAACTTATTGGCAAGCTGTTGGAAGAGTGCGCAGATCTATCAGAGTCTCCTTCAGGAGTAGTTCTGCATCCTATCCAACACCGCATTGAGATAGAGTGTGGCACTAAGACTCCCAAATAAGCAATGTATAAGATGTCTCCTAAGGAGTTAGAGGAGTTGGGCAAGCAGTTAGACGAGCTCCTCGAGAAGGGTTGGATTAGGCCCAGTTCGTCTCCATTTGGAGCGCCTGCTCTCTTCATCCCCAAGAAAGAGGAAGAGCTTAGAATGTGCATTGACTATAGGGGTCTCAACGTTGCTACAGTAAAGAATGCAGAACCACTACCCCGTATAGATGATCTGTTGGATCGGGTGCAGGGCTGCGAGTACTTCTCAAAGATAGATTTGAAGTCAGGGTACCATTAGAGGTTCACCCTGATGATCAGTACAAAACGGCGTTCAAGACTAGGTATGCGCACTATGAGTTTATAGTTATGCCCTTTGGACTAACCAACACACCGGCCATATTTTAGCGCTGCAAGCAGTTAGACGAGCTCCTCGAGAAAGGTTGGATTAGGCCCAATTCGTCACCATTTGGAGCACTTGTTCTCGTCCTCAAGAAAGAGGGAGAGCTTAGAATGTGCATTGACTATAGGGGTCTCAACGTCGTTATAGTAAAGAATGCAGAACCGCTGCCCTGTATAGATGATATGTTGGATCGGGTGCAGGGCTGCAAGTACTTCTCAAAGATAGATTTGAAGTCAGGGTACCATACGATAGAGGTTCACCCTGATGATCAGTACAAAACGGCGTTCAGGACTAGGTACGAGCACTATGAGTTTATAGTGATGCCCTTTGGACTAACCAACGCACCAGCCTTATTTTAGCGCTGCAAGCACATAGACGAGCTCCTCGAGAAAGGTTGGATTAGGCCCAATTCGTCTTCATTTGGAGCGCCTATTCTCTTCGTACCCAAGAAAGAGGGAGAGCTTAGAATGTGCATTGACTATAAGGGTCTCAGCGTCGTTACAGTAAAGAATGCAGAACCACTGCCCCGTATAGATGATCCGTTGGATCGGGTGCAGGGCTGCAAGTACTTCTCAAAGATAGATTTGAAATCAGGGTACCATCAGATAGAGGTTCACCCTGATGATTAGTACAAAACGGTGTTCATGATTAGGTACAGACACTATGAGTTTATAGTGATGCCCTTTGGACTAACCAACACACCGACCTCATTTTAGCGCTGCATGAATGATTTGTTCATGTCGTGGTTAGATAGATTTGTAGTTGTCCATTTAGATGATATTTTGATTTTTTGTAAGACCCTCCAGGAGCACGAGGCTAATACGAGGCAAATCTTGGAAAACTGCGTAAACCAAACTTCAAGATCAACGCGAAGAAGTGCGAGTGGGCCAAGACCGAGATTTTGTACTTGGGCCACGTGTTAGATGGTGATGGCATAAAGTCTGAGGACAACAAGATCGCAGCGATCAGAGACTGGCCGATCCCGCGTACCCTCACATAATTGAGGTCATTCTTAGGATTGGCTAATTATTATAGGAAGTTTGTGAGGAACTTCTCTGCAATCGTTGCTCTCCTTCGCAGACTGCTAAAGAAAGAGGCAATTTGAAAGTGGGACCAAGACTGTACATCGGCCCTGAAGAAGTTGAAGCGAGTCTTGATAGAGTACCCAGTCCTGAAGGTAGCTTACCCATCTTTACCCTTTGTTGTTACTACCGATGCTAGTCAATATGACATTGGTGTTGTCTTACAACAAGATGATGGCAATGGACATAGACCCGTAGAGTTCATGTCAACTAGGTTGCCTTCATAGAAGGTAGCAACATCCACCTATGAGAGGGAACTCTACGCGCTCAGGCAAGCATTAGACCACTAGGGACACTACTTACTTGGGAAGCACTTCAAAGTCTATTCAGACTACGAGACATTAAGCTTACTAGGTGGGCCGCCGAGATAGATCAGTTTGACCTCGAGCTCAAGCCAGTCAAACAAAAGTATAATGTGGTTGCAGATGCCCTTAGTAGGAGAGTCGACTACTGTGGAGCTTTAGTTCACTATCTGGATATAGGGTCAGACTTACAACAAAAAGTCGTAAACGCGTACGCGCCGGACCCTATCTATAGTGACCTCCTCAAGAGAGTCAAGGAGGACCCAGCCAGTGAACCTCACTACCACACCACTAATGGGTTATTGTTAGAGAAGACAGACGTCGTGGATCGGCTATCCATTCCCAACAGCGAAGAGATCTGTAGTCTGATCCTTGGGGAATGTCACGATACAGAAGGGCACTTCAGTTGGCAAAAGCCACTCGCCAACCTGATACGCGCCTACACGTGGACTGGCATGAAAGCTGATTGCATAGAGTATGTGTGTAGTTGCAAGGTATGCCAGCGCAACAAAACTACGACGAGAGCCCCATTGGGTCTTCTCATACCCTTGCCTATCCCATCAGGACCTGGAGATTCTGTGTACATTAATATCATGGATACTGGGGTCAGGAGTAGGCATGGCAAGAGCCAAGTCATGGTTATAGTCGATAGATTTAGCAAGTATGCAGTTTTTGTCCCTTTGCCTGCCGAGACACGTACTGATCTAGTTATAGGAAAGTTCTTTGATCATTGCGTTAATGAGCATGATTTGCCGTTGTCGATAGTTAGTGACAGAGACACCAGGTTCGCTGGCCAGAACTTGCAAGAACTTATAAAAGTATATGGTTTCAAGTTGTTGATGCCGTATGGCGGCCACACGGTTTTTCATAGGCCTGTCAGTACAAGTTTTAGGGCTTCCCGGGTTGTTTATTGAGCGCCCACAGACTACCTACCCTGCAACTACTTGACGTGGTCACCTTCCAACTATCAAACCCTACCTATCTATGCCATGCAACCTCATCACAATATTACTTCGTTGAGGACAACAAGAATTGACAGCAGCTTGTTAGAGAAGATCCGACAACTTCCAAACATCAAATGCATGACAAAATGACAAAATGTGAATGGCGGATGGCCCAGTGGTTAGGGCACCGGTCGGAAATGCACATTGTGGTCCGAGGTTGCGGGCTCAAAACCCCACAGCCTCGTGCATAGGCCGCCGGCATGGCGTTAGGTTGACGCACTACCACTCACACACTAAGTGCGCACGAGGCCAGGGGGCATGACCTGACCCGGGGTCCACCTAAGAGGGTGCCCAGCAGATGCTAGCCCCTTCGCAATCCTGGGTCCTCCGAAACGGCTTGGGTTGCTGGAGGCCATGGGGGGGGAGGGCTCCGGGAGGGGCCGGCTCAGTGGGGATGAGTACGGGAGGAGTGAAGGGCTCACCCCCTTCCTAGCAGGAGCGACTCTCATCCCCACAGCACCTGTTGACTGTGGTGCACTTCCGTTCCGACCGGGTGCCTCAGGGATGCAGGACCCTGAGTTCGAGGGGAGTGCGCCTTGGTGCAACAGCCTGGTAGCTCCGGTCCGGGGAGTGGGTGGGTCCGCTTTTCCGACAGGTGGGCTGAACCCGGTGCGTGAAGCCCCAGACTTCCTCCCCGAGGGCTTAGGGATTCTGGGAAACTTCACAGAGTCTAGTCTCTTTGGTGCTCGTCAATCGTTCGGCAAATTTCCCCTACACATCTGACCTCTTCTTCTATGGTCACCTTCTCCCTTTACCGCTCCTCGTGGCCACCAATTCGCACCCGCCAACCTTACCAACTCCTCCGCCTTCAAAAGTCAGATGCCTCTCAGAAGAAAAAGAGAGTTTGCTGTGGTACCAGTGGAATGAGGCCACCATGCGTTCACCCAATCACACTATTCTCGCACAAGCCAAGACACACATAAGTCGAATATATGAGAATCAAAAAAAAAAAAAAGTCTTTGCAATTACAACAAGTACCCGAATTGTCTCTTCTCACATCCGGCTATGGCCAATCACTCATAATGCAGGTAAGCCTCACATTGGTGAGGCATTTTCAGAACGCCGTACCCAAAATTTCATCAAATCTTGGCCTCAGTTTGGATTTCCCCCTGGATGTATGTGGACTTTGACTGAGTCCAGATACATTGAGGGGGTAGGGCGTTTTCAGAATGACATACCCAAAATTTCATCAAATTTTGGCCTCAGTTCGGATTGTCAATTCGTTCAAAAAACAAAATATGTCCATTTTGACGAAATCTCTGTTCTTACGAATACAAACACTTACAGGTCACACTCACGTTCCTCACGAAATGTCTTCCACTCTCATTCACATCTCCCCCTCACTCTCAAGCTATACGTATGGCATCAGGCGCTGTCAGCTACCCTAAGCTACTCTCGGGCTACTCTCGGTTCCACTCGCTCAGCCATCGCTTTAATGCACAAGACTGCAGCAGCGCTTCCACAATGAGCCAGTGGGATAATGTAGTGATGTCTAACCGCTACTGAGCTACTGTACTTGCTGCAGTCTGGATCCGGGGCTCCAGTGTTCGGACCTTCTTCCCTGTTGCCGTGGTCGGCCTCCAACATCCAAAAAGTAATGGCTTCAGGAATAAGCTGCGACTGACAGTGTTCGGACAGAGAGTTCCAGGACTGCCTACCGACCTGTACGGATCCTAGGACCTAAAATTAACTGTCGACTTCGTACGGCCTGACTCTAAACTGCAGGCCTCCATGACTCGACCTACCAGGCCTACTGGGTGGAACTAAGATACAATGGGAAACTGGGACTTTGGGGACTGAGCCAGGGGTGCTGACGTTCGTGAATCCTGTTACTGTCTCTCACAGGCCTCGGTTGCAGGATCGTGTTCACTACAGGATACTGACAGCAGTGATGCCTTCCTTAACCCTCTCCACAAGAGTGTGACAATGCAACCGAACCAGTGCCACATGGAACATAAAAAGGAGATGGAATGACAATGTTGCTCTCATGTCTGCCACTTCTTCTTCTCCTCATCCTCATCTTGGAACATCATAAAATAGTTCTTGAGGAACAGAACAAACTTGATGCATAACCAAATTGTGTTGATTGAAGTAGCTGTGAGTAGTCAGTATGGTGTGCACCTCCATGTCATGCTGCCTTGTTTTCACTGCTCTCCCTCTGCCTCCTCATCTGTTTGAATATCACTGAGCGAAGTTTCCATAAATCTGGCTTTCCATCCCAAAAAATGTGTTTTTTGTTGGAAGGCAGGAACGAAGGGAATAGCTGAAGGTTTGGCGAAAAACAAGGTTCTGAGGAAGCTTCGGTTGAATTGGAACGGACTGGATGACAGGGGTGGTGAGCACATCGGGATTATGCTGAGGACAAACAAGGGCATTGTAGAGTTGTCAATGAGCAATACCAGGGCAGGGCCCAATGCATGTTTGGTGTTGGGAGAAGCGTTAAAACACAACGCAACACTCAAGATGCTTGATGTCAGCTACAACCCACTTGGTGAAGATGGAGGACGCCATCTCATGATGGGCATTGAGGTAAATGACATCCTCTTCTGCATCCTGCTTGATTCAGGATTGGAAAAGAACTCCCCAGTTTTGTGACTGAATGGCACACGCATGCAGTTGTTGATAAACAGGTATCAACAGGTCATGAATTAATCATGATGGGTAGGAGAATGATAGAGGCTAGCCCCTTCTAGAAAAGAAACAAAAGGAATAAGTTAGGAAGAAAAGTTTGTAATATTCAGTTCTTGGCGTGTTGGCTAACATCACGTGTAGTATCTGTTCTGATCAATTTAATATCTGATCTGTGGTCCATCAGCCACTTTAAAAATAAAATAAAAATAAAAACGGAAGAAAAGTTGGGAGTGTTGCAACTGGTCAGCTCACACTAGAAAGTACCTCTTGTATCATCTAATCCAAGTCTCAACTTGCAGTAAATCTAAACACTTGAATCACGAGTCTCAATTGTGCTCCACACAGAAATAATGTTTCCAGGAATTTGTTGACAAATTCCCAAGCAAGCCACCTTACATGGACTGTCGTAGCACTGTACATTATCCAATCCACTCCATAACAAACAATGCACAGGGTTTTTCTTGTCCATTATGTCAAGGGTGGATGATCCTTTGTTTGTAACACTATTGTAATAATATACTAATATGTAACCCAAGGGTGAGAGATACATATAATGACTTTGTGTTTGTCCAACTGCTTGAAATACATCTCATGGTGGGAGCGGCAGTAAAGGGCTCGGTGTCTTTGTATGACAGATATGTGAGGCTACAGGCCTCAGCGGCGTCCAGTAACGCCCGCTCGTGCAGAATGGATGCAGCTCGAAGAGAAGGCTGGGCTTGAAAAATTCCACTAGGCACCTGGGGCGGCTGGCGAGGGGCAGTTGAAGGTTGCTGTGCACAGCATCTCAAACTAACCGCTAGGCCGTCCCTGTTAGTTGAAGAGGCCCAGGTACCCAGTTCCGAAAACTCTTCAGAGAATTCCCAGACCGGGCAGCGCAGTACCAGCCAAGCAGCCACGGGTTCCAGAAGGAAACAAAGGGAGTGAGACCACAGCATTCCACACATTTGGAGGCACTGCCTCCTGATGCCAGCGCTGAGCAGGCGCATGCAGCCACGCCCCTGAGTTTTGACGATGGAGGAGGGAGGAGTAGCCATGGTAAGCTGCTCCTGTTTGGCGGCAACCATAGCTGTGCCAAAAGGGGGCACTGGTGTGCGGGTCATCAGGGGACAAGGAGAGCAGTGGGACCAGGCGGTCCAATGAGCCCACTTTGGGTGATCAGACTCTACAGCATCGCTGGGGAGACTGAGATGGAGGGAGGGAGAGAAGAGAGAGAGAGAAGTAGATTGTGTTTAGTGCGGAAGTTGGGAGGCACTATAGGGTGAAATCAGACTGCACTCCAAACTTGCTTGCAACATGCATACATGTATGGACTGATGGCAAAACAACTTCTTCAGCTCAGAATCAACAACGAACTTACACTGGCGACTTGCGCCCACACAGAAAACTTAGAGAAATGGCCTCTGGCCAGAAACTCAACTCAAGTCAACTGTACAACTTGTGGCTATGGCCGCCGAACACTGTCTCCACCCCCAGCCTCACTCTCACTCATGCACGCACGAACGAGGATCCACTGTGATGGGGCTGAGGCCGAGGCAAGGCAACGAGGCTGGGAGAGAGAGGGAGAGAGTGAGAGCACACACACACACTCACTCAACTCGACGCAGACTCAACACGACTCGACGGACGCAGACACGAAGTGGCAAAGTCGCAAAGTCGAAGTCTTGGATTTCCGAACACAATGTCGAGGCAAGTCACACCGAAGCACAAGCACTGAGGCCGCAAACTGAATGCCCGTACTGGGCTTGGGTCCGATATTAAGTATCGGACTCAAGTTCAGTCCGATGGGCAGAAGTGCAATTTGCCCAGGGCTGAACTGAAAATCGAAAGTTTGAAAATGGTTGCCAGGAGGCCGGATGACGCCAAGTGTCCGAAATCAGAAAAATAAAACAAAGAGAAATAAAATAAGAAAACAAAGAAAAGAAAATGTGTGCAGTGAACTGCGGGTAGCGTCCCGCGGACCAGGGATCGAGCCCTGGTGTAGTCCGTAACACTATCCCCTCCCTCTAGAAGGCAACGTCCCGGCTGCCAAAAATCATGAAGCAATGCTGAAATCTGTGAAGGACGGGACGGGGCCGATCACTGGTTAACAAGTCGAAAGGGAAGAGGGGTATAATGTGGGTGGCATGGGCTGCGGGAGTAAGAGGGAACAGGGTTTGGTACCGGTGAACAGGGTTGTCCTACTGATGAACTAGGGGGGTTTGCAGGGAACAGGGTAGTCCTACAAATGAACTAAAGGGACGGCAGAGAGCAGGTTAGTCCTACTGATGAACTAAGGGGATTGCATGGTTTGCTATAGGTTAAGGGGGAACAAAGTTCAGGGAACAGGGAACTTCTATTGATGTTCTACTGGGTAAGGGAAACGGTGTTCAGGAAAACAGGGTATTGCTAATGATGTTCTACAGGGTTGTCAAAGTCGGGAAGAAAAAATAAATTGTGATAACCCGTCCAAACACGGAATGAAACACACAGCTGATTTCTGAGTTTTGCTCATAGAGTGAATGCCCTACTGAGTCCCCCGCCTGCTAAGTCTGTGTGTGTGTGTGCTTGCTGGACTGCATGTCTGTCTGAGTGCTGGTTGGCTTGCGTGTGT